TATGTATTCTTATTCACCAATCCAGAAGCACCTTGAATCCCATAGTGCAGGAATTTTTATTAAGACTTATTATATAGGCATAATCATTTAACTTCCAGCCCATTTCTCCTTCCTGGAGAATCAGGTGGGGGTTTAGGGTGAGTGGCCAAAGGTTCCAAGCTTCCAATCATGTGTTGGTGTTTCTGGTGATCTACTCCTATCCAGGAACTCACAAAGAGTGGTCTCATTACAACAAAAGATGTTCCTGTCACTGAGGAAATTCCTAGGGATTAGTACCTCTGTGTTAGGTATCAGGCTTAAAAGAGAAAATGTTAGAAGGAAAGGTTCTTTGAGCCCCTCCATTACTCAGAAAATTAAAAGGTTTTAAGAGTTCTGTGCCAGGAAATGTTCATAAAGGGGTGTATGTGGGTGTGTGATTTATATATTATATATTTGTAATATATGTAATCAGAAATATATTACTTGTAACATATTATAAAATATTGTAACATAAACCACAATATCACCATTTATATATTTAAATAGATGTGCACATATAATATGTATCCACATAAAGTAATAAAGTGATGCAATAATTAAAGGTCCTGGTAAGTCTTTCAGGTGTCATTCAGTAGAATAGCAGTTCTGAACAGTTATATTATGACACATTATAGAAGGTGGTGGATTTTGTTCTGAATAATAAAAATAAATACAAAAGTATGAATATAGTTTACTAAAGCCATAACAGTATAATTCTCACTTGCTTATTCCTGTGTGCTTTCTTAAGGGAGGTTTACAGGAATGATTGTGGAGTTTGTGTGTGTGTGTGAGTATGTAAAAACCTGTATGTGGCTGTTTTTATATTTCTATGTTTTGTAGTTGGAAATAGTGTTGATCGCCATTGGGTGGGATACTGTTTGCTTTTTGTATCCACTCACTAGGCTCCTGTTTCTGAGTTGTGGTAGTAGTAGCATAGTTTAATAGGAAAACAAAGTAAATTAGCTGAATACTGATCCCACATTGTGGAATAGCAGCAGAATGTTCTTTGATTCGTGGTATACAAATGGAGCACAATTTTTCACTTCTCTGGTTGTACATGAGGAAGGGTCACACCATTTGTGAAATCATACACATACCTAGGATAATGATGTCCATCTCATTCTACCATCTTTCCTATCCCCATTCCCCCTCCTCAGCCCTCCCTCCCCTTTACCGAATCAAAGTTCCTCCACTCATCCCATGCCCCCCTTTATTATGGATTAGCATGAACTTATCAGAGAAAACATTTAGCCTTTGGTTTTTTGAAGATTAGACTACTTCACTTAGCATGGTATTCTCTGACTCCTACCATTTATCTGTAAATACCATAATTTTATTATCTTTTATTCTGAGTAATATTCCATTGTGTGTGTGTATGTATGTATGTGTGTGTATATATACATATATACATATATATATAGAGAGAGATAGATATATCTATATATATCTATATCTGTATATATCTATATATATCTATATATATATATATATATATATATATATATATATCACAGTTTCTTTGTCCGTTCATCTAGTAAAGGGCGTCTATGTTGGTTCCAGAGTTTGGCTGTTGTGAATTGTGCTGCTATAAACATCAATGTGCTGCATCTCCATAGAATAATGTTTTTAAGTACTTCAGGTATAGACAGAGGAGTAGGCTAGCTGGGTCAAATGGTGGTTTCATTCCAAGTATTTTATGGAATCTCCATACTACATTCCAGGTTGATTACACAAATTTACAGTCCCATTAGCAATGTATGAGTGTGTCTTTTCCCCACATCCTCAACAACACTTGTTGTTGCTTGTATTCTCAAAAACTGCCATTCTCACTGGAGAGAAATGAAATCTTAGAGTAGTTTTGATTTGCTTTTCTTTAATTACTAGTGATGTTGAACATTTCTTCATAATATTTGTTGATCGATTATATATCTTCTGTGAACTGTCTGTTCAGTTCCTTAGCCCATTTTTTGATTGGGTTGTTTGTTTGTTTGTTTGTTTGAGTTCTTTAGATATCCTGGAGATTAGAGCTCTATCTGTGCATGTGGTAAAAATATGGTAGGGTGGAGGTTTCGTTGTTGTTTTTCATGAGTGTTAACAATATTGTCTTGTGTATGGTTTTAAATAATTAGTGGCATCCTTTTTCTTGGTTTCTGAACCACTACCCGTGTCTAGACACCTATCAATACACACAATTTTGTATGTTGTATATGTTGTGCTTGTTGTAAGGGGTTTGTTCAGCCTGTGGCTCTTCCATAATACTTGCGTATAGGAAATGCTGATATAATATCAAAGACACCATGAAAAATCTGCTGAACAATTTTTTCTTCACCATTTTCTTAATTACTGTTTCCCTATAATAGTGATAGTTGAAACAGTAAATTTAATTAAAGATAATATTATCTCCCAACAATCCTGACCCCTTCATAGAAACTAGTGATTTGTTTACCTGATTGACTTATGTGGTCAGTTGGTTTATTATTTTATATATTCTCGGGAGAGTTGTCTTTTCATCCTTATTATTTGGCAGTTAGTCTTCACTAAACAAATAGTGGTCATATGTCCTCCACCCACCCCCCAGAATAATGTTCTACATGTCCAATTTCTATCTAGGAGATTATAATACTCATTTCTTTTAATAACAGTCCAGTGATCAGACAGAGACCACTGTCTTTGAGTACTGATGCATGTTTTTAAGGCTTCATACTATTGTTTTGTCAATGAACAAGGGTTTTACTACCCAATTTATTGTGGCATTGATAAATGAACCAGTTCCTTCTTTTCCATCCTTAAAAATTTAAGAGGAAGAAAGTTCAAAGCCCCTTTTTATTTGTATATAAAATCTTTGTATATATATTTTTTACCAAACAATAGCTTATATTTTGCATCTTTATTTTTTTATCCTCTTCTGCAAGTTCTTTGTATATTATTTTCTGGAGATGATTTAAAGAATGACCATGTTTTCTTAGCCTGTGTATATTAACAAAACTTACTATTTGTCATTCATAGCTCTTCATTCTGTTGCATATTACCTGTGTGTATCAAATAATAGTTAACATTTGCTACAAACTTATACCTAAGTACAATAATAGCTACTTTTATGTGTTGGCTCAGATAATTCAATAATCTTTTGAAATAGCTTTTATCTTTTTTAAAAAAAAAAAAATTATCGATTTTACTTTCTAGAGCAGTTGTAGGTTTAAAAAAAAATTAAGCAGAAAGTACAGAGTTTCCATATTCCTCCCTACCTTCCCACCACCATACACACAGTTTCAAACCCTATTATAATCAACTTGAGTTAGTGTTCTATATTTGTTGTCAACTGATAAGGCAATTAAATTCCATAGTTTGTATTTTGGCTTACTCTTTATTCTATGGGTTTAGACACATATATGAAATGTATCCACTATAATAGTTTCATACAAAGTGCTTTCACTACCCTAATAGTCCCCTGTACTACACCTATCCTCCTTTTTTGTATAGAGAAAATTACAGCTAAGAGATTTAATAAATTCTCTAAAAGTCACATAGTTAAAACAAGTATGTAAGCTGCTCCACTTGTCTAGCATCTCTGCTCATAACTCATACATAGCTTTCCTGATTCTTTAAATTTATTGACTCATTTGGAGAATCCTTCCTTGGTAAGATTATTGCTAAGTCTTGCCAACTTTATTAAAGTATACATAAGGGAAACATTTTGTCTTTTTACCTTTGACATTAAAATGTGGGAAACATTGAATGTATTTTTTTTTAGTTTTAATTGTTGAATAGTTGATAAGAATTATGAATTAGAGGGAAGTTTTTCAATGGAATAACATTATTTAAAAGAAAGAAGAAATGCAGAAGTCCATTAGCTCATTGTTTGTTTATCACTGTTTATAGGTGGTAGATGTGGTAGGCTGGTCTCTAGCTGTTAGAACAATGAGTGAATGAAGGAGGCGGTAACAGAGTGTTTTTTTTTTTTTAATGAATGAACAAAAAGTGAAGATATGGAGAAATGAATGAGTGTTGTAGAATGTTGCATACTTATCACACACATTTTTAACTTTGGAAAATTCATCACTGTAACAGTAATTTTTAAAATATTTGTGAAGAAAGAAAGAAAATGCCTGAAATTCATATGATGGATAGTGTGTAAATAGAAGGAATAAGCAGGTGAGATCATTTCTCTTTACCACAGTGGCTTTTGGACATCAACCTCAGTGTCCTGCTGCCACTTGTATTCAGCATAGATCTTCAACCATGGCAGATGAGAGCTCTCCAGGAAGTTCTGCTTAGACTGTTCTCCCACTTCAAGCCACCTCTTTATGTTATTCTGGATGTCATTGTGGCTCCGAATCCATAACCAAATAAAGAATGTATAGTTTTACAATCTGCCTGTATTACACTGTTTGATGAAAAAAATTCAAATGTATTGCAGGTGAACCTTCCCCTTATTTTTAAATTTGTTGACGATGTTCCCAATTAAAACTGTAGTGAGGCAAGAGACTTCACAGGAGATTAAATTCTGGATCAGTATAATTTTCAATAGCAATACGGAGTAGCTGTTTCAGATCCAATGAATTGTGATCTTATTTCCTCATTTGATAAGGATGTGATTAGAAGTATGTAATGAGGACAAACTCCTGTTACAAGAAAAAAAAAAGAAGGAATCATATGAAAATAAATGATGTTTCCTTATTCTTTTGATTCCTGTGAATCCTTTTTTTTTTTTTTTTTTTTTTTTTTTTTTAACTTTTACTTCTCTGGTCTCTTCCTTTTCTTCTCTTTCTGGCACTCACACCTCTATCTTAATGTTTCCCAGGATTCAGACCTCCATCTTTATTCTCACATATTCTCTTTCAACATCTTCCATTTAGATAAAAATAAAACTCTTCTTTTGCAATGATGGTCACCAGTGGACATGAGTCGGCTCATTTGTGCCCTGAAGGTGAAGAATCCCACATGATTCATTTCTGAATCATCCATGTTCTCTGTTTTTCAAGGGTCGGAAGAGTGAGGCTGAAAAGTTCTTCTTGAAGGCTATTGAGCTGGATCCCACCAAAGGAAACTGTTACATGCATTATGGTGAGTGGCTGATCATTTTTTCCAAGTTCCCCACATTTGCTCTTAATGTGGGTATAAGATTTACTGACATTTTGGGTGCAGATATAGCCTCGGGCTACATTCCCATCTTCACAAAGTAGTCACATTAAAGCCTCCTTATCCATTGTATTTCCCTGCAGTAATTTTCATAGAATTTCAATGGGGAAGGCAATTTCACAGTTGTTTGTTTCAAGTTCAGTGTGGAGTTTACACGAGATCTCATAAGGAAAGCATCTAGCTCCTTGCCTGATGCGTAGTTTATAATAAAAATATTAGCTTCCTTTTCACTCTGAATGATATTGTCTTAGTCATTGAGCATGCCATTTTGAAATTTTGGAAGTTTACATTTTGTCCAAAAAGTCTTGCTTTCTGGAAGATCTGAATGCCTCTGAGTGAGGCCAAGGATAAAACTATAATGGTATAAAGGATAGCTGTCTCATTCCATCTAGGCTTGGCCTTCATCAGTCCAGAATGAGCTTACACAACAACTCTGTCGCACTCCACTCTATCATTAGTAGTGAGTCATATGTTTAGTGAGGCACAGTATATAGCTGGTTTGGTATTGGGTAAGATGTGGTTATTTCTACCAGATCTGGAATGGCTTTCAAGGAGCCAAAAAAACATTTACTTTTGCTGATCTCTTGGAAAAAAAAAAAGTTTTTCTTTTATCGCTATTGGCTTTGATGTCTTAGTTATTATCAAGCAGTAAACTTAAAAGTGGACGGAAATCAAATCTTAAGGAAATAAAACTAATATGCTTGTATAATATTTAATTCCTTCTCCCAGTTTCCAGCTAGTAAAAATAAATCAGTGGCAGGCTGCATGTGCAGAAGAATGAAAATAATAAAATGGAGGAAACACTTAACCAACCACAAGAGCATTTTTAAACTTAGATTATTGTGTGTATACGTCTATAAAGTTAGGGTTGTGATGCTTTATCTTCCTAACATAATGTAGGATGTAATTCCATGTAATGAATTATATAAACACTCCTGATTTTGTTTCACAATACAATTTTATTGCTGTGTTAAGATAGCAGTCGAGTAATTTAAGTTTGCTACAGAATTTATTTTTATTTTCACAGGTTTTTGCGTATGAAATATTTTAATTTAGGATTTTCTCATGGTTACTGTTTGTGGTAGCTCCATGATTATTTTCTGTCAGTGCTAAAAGACCTCTTGCTGTTACATTTTAGAAAATAGGATTACCCACCCCCCCATCTTTTTGCCTAATTTCCTTGGCTTCAAATTAATTCCACTTACTGCATCCTCTAAGCTTTCTATGAAAACATTGTTATGTAATATGTAGGTAATTTCACAGTAAATTTCTTGAAACTTCATCATTGATGCATTTGAATTGCAATTGTTATCAATTTTAAAATTATCAATTTTAATAGTTGGCTTGTCCATCCTTACCTACTTCCTCTAATTTTTATACTATATTGTGTTCTTGAAATTTCTTTTTGTAGTTTGGTGGGAGGTAATATTTTTCTCATGAGAACTTTTTTAAAATTTATTTTGTCAGAAAGTGTAAAACTCTTTTCAACGTATTATTTATAAGATAGTGATAACATGTCTTTAAATGCAGATATGAAAATTGTTCTTAGTGCTTCACAATGTTTTAAATTTGGATGCATATACACATTACTAGTATATTTTCTCAGATAAAAATGTATAATTCAGTATAAATGTATGGAATGCAATTTTATGAATTTTATGAAAGTTTACAACTTTCAGCATTTTTTTCTACTTTGTAATCAGATATGTAGAGAAACATGGTTTCAAAGGGAGGATTGGTTACAGTAAAGAATCTACAATTGGACAGTAAGCTCATAACTGAGTGCTTAATAGCCCTTGCTTACTATGCTTGGGTTATAAAAAAAAATGTACATTTTAAAGAATTATTCTCATTTTAGAAAATTCATTTCAAATAATTAAATTTCAGAATCATAACAGTTTTTAAAAATTAATTCCTCTATGTACACACAAGTAGACTAAAATCTAGGGAAATGAAGATGACTTAACCAAATTAGTTGTAAGTGAATAAATTTTGGATCCCGTTTCATTGCTTTTTATTCTATAACATAAAATCGGTTTGTTTTCACAATACCGGTAGAGAGGCAGGCAAATAGCAGACATTTCAATCAGTAGGTTCTTGTGTGCAGTTTTAGAATATCAAATTCTTGTGTGATGACTTCACTTAAAATTCTTAGGGAAAGGTCTTTATTTTGATATGTGTAAGATGTGTCTATTAGGTGCAAGCCTCTATTTTCAGAAAGTAAGTAGTAAGTAGTGCTATACAGTAACCAAACAGGACAATGGCATCTTTAGAATGTGACAGGTAGAAAATGGAGTACTTGTTGAGACAAGATGTCAAGGCAAATGGCTATGAGTGTGTAGTATTTGAGATCTCAGAACTTCAGGCATCTACTTCAAGAGCCAGACTTAGAAAAATAGAAAGTTCACTGTTCAAACAAGAACAACCTATGTTCACAGCAGAGAAAGAAGTTTCGTGTGACTAGAACATATTGAATCATAGGGGAAGGTGAGAGTAGATAAGGCTGTAGAGAGAGCAGAGGTAAAGCCCATACATGTGGACCAAACTAAGGAATTTTATATTAAGAGTAATAGAAAAGATCACAAGGAGAAGAGAGGGTTATAGAAAGAATAAAGGAAGGAAAACTCTTTAGAGAGCTATTTTGTGTTTTAGGTAAGAGATAATGGTGGCTTCCACTTTGGAACAGTTGCATAACAGTAAGTATTTATATTGAAGTTACACATTTACCTCCTTTAGAAGATTCTAAATTGAGACTAGGGAGGACCTGTTTTCCATTTTTGTATCATCAATATCTAGCATATTGCCATACTCACAGTAATGTGCAATAAATATTTATTGAGCTCAGTTAGGAATAGTCTCCATTCTAGAACTGGATCTGGAATACAAAATTCACTGAAAGAATGCTCCATTTGAATTTTTTTATTATTCCATGCCCAAGAAATTATGTACTATGATTCTTATATCAGTTCATTGCCAACTTACTGCCTATATATATTCTTAGGGTGTTTATACCCACAGATTGAATAAAAACACTTCCTTGGTTTAAAAATAAATGTTTAAATTAAATATATGCGTTTTGAGTCTTTTTAAAATGCTTTTGCAAATGCCAATGAAAATGCCAGAGTGAGCAAATTTTGTTTTATGGGAAATTTACTCTCTTGGGTGATTATGTGCTTTTAGTTTGCTTGTTAATGATACAAGTGACTTGGAAAATACCATACGGTTGGGACTAAACAGAGGGAATTATAGGAATTTATATTGGTTGCAATAGTGATTAGAAGATGATATTTTAAAATGCTATCAGTTACTTGTGCTTTGAATCCACGGGTTTTGCATCTGGGGAAAGGAACTACATCTCAGAGTAACCTTCCCTGCCTTTTCCCTTCAGGTAGACTTGCTGATTGGTTCCAAGAGTTTGTTACCTATATATAGTCTCTGGAAGAAAAATGGAGTCTCTGGAATTTAGATTTCCTTGTCTTCAAATTTAAAAGCTTAATCTGGGCTCTCAAAATGTTTTCTAGTATTCAGATTTCAGGTTGTCTCTAATATATATTCTTTTTTTTCTAATATTTTGTCAAAAAGTTTAAGGAATGTGTAGAAAATAGTTTTCACACCATAGTATAATGTTGTATTCATATGTTGTCAAGCTTACAGTATATTCCATGTCCATGTGACATTAGTCAAGACTTACTGAAATTTAGTTTATAAATCTGTGTGAGCATTTGCTGTCTTGATGTCTCATGTGGCTCTATAATTCAAGGGATTCTCTATGGCTGCCCTACTCTCCAAAAGAGAGCTTCTGCCCAAAAGAATCAAGATCAATACAAGTCCTCTTTTAAAAAGGTCCAAGAAAAACAACATTTAATAATATAGAATATGTTATACATCTTTTCTTTAGGTATATAGTAGTAAATGTGAAGTAGATTAAAACAATTTTTAAATACTTAGTAAAAGGTACCCACTATGAATATGTCCAGGCAGTTGGGAATTTATTAGATTTTTAAAACAGAAGTATAAAACTTTGAAAGACCAAGGGATATAGTTCAGTGATAGAGTGCTTGCCTAGAATACCCTGGGTTCAATCCACAGTAATTGGGGGGGGGGGGGGGGAAGGTGCTATTGGCCTTCTTTTGTGTGGACCTTAATAAGTAACTTTTTCTCCCGTCTGCCTTTTAACTAAGAGTAAATCTTGGACCCTCATTGTCTTCTCTACTGGTGTTCTCTGGGGCATGTTTTGTTGTTGTTGTTGTTGTTGTTGTTGTTGTTGTTTTTTATTTCCAAGGGTTTGGCTGTAAAGTCATGAGTCTTAAACTTTTTGAAGTCTCCAGCTCCATATTTATCAAGCACCATACTAAATACAGGAACACAGCAGGGAAAAGACAAGTTCCAATAGAGCTGGCAAAATGGTATGGAAGGCACAAATTATAAAACTCATGATTTAATTACAGTTATTTTTAAAAAGGAGAAACAGCATAATTTAGGGGTCTCCATGTGTGGGGTTTTATGTAGGAAAAATTCACCCAATGAGCTCACATTGACCAAATATTTGAATGATGAATAGCAGTTCCCCAAAATTTGGAAATGGAGATGCCGTGAGCATTAATTCAGAGGGTGCTTAAGGTAGAAGACAGCATGTATCTGGAAAATATTTCAAGGAAAGAGCCAAGAAGGCAGCTAGATGTGGCTGTTTAGAAGGAAGAGCATCTGAGTTAGGAGAGCTGCCAGATTATGAAAAGACTACTCACGGAAGAGTTCCAAATGTGGTGTTTATAAGGATATTAGAAAAATTCAGACATTGCCAACAGTGAGAGGGTTGATCTCAACAACCATCAAATCGTTTCCAAAACTGAGGCTTAGTTATTAAATCATTCTTTCTTGTGAGCCCACAGAAAGTATGGAATTTTAAAAAACTGTAATCATCCAGA